TTGTTTGTTCGTTCATTTTGTTTTGTTGGTTTAAAAACATCATATTAAAAATGGGTACTTAGTTCTAAGTTCAGAAGGTATACACCCAATTCTGGGAAAGTTGATAATGTTTAGTATAAGTTTTCTCAAAACACTGTCACAATTTTGTGGTCCATAATTTAAAACTATCCCAATTAGGGCTAATTTGCCCTTCTACTTCATGTGTTCTGTTTTATTTAATCTCATTTGTATAGTTGAGATTAATAAGGAGCAAAGGCCCTGAGTATAGCCAGTTTTATCAAAATTCCTTAAAATATTTATTCTAAAGTTTTTGTAAACCACTGATAAACACACAAACATACATACACACAAACACTTGTACAGACTTACACATGCATGTACCTTCCAATCTTGCATAATGTTCTCTTCAATCAGTGCTGACTTACAAAAAAAACCCAACCAAACAAACCATGAACTTCAACAAAATCTTTGCTAGCTATCTGGCATTTGGTCTTGAGAGAGTTTGTTACTTGTAGTATTGAGATTTCCATTCCAACAATCTCTTGTTGAGAGTCCCACTATATAACCAAAGCTCTCTACTTGCTACTAAGGAAAATACAAAACTTTATACTATACAATCCCTGCCCTCAGCGATCTCACAATTTTATTGAAAAGAAAGATCACGAGCAAATACATTGCAAAGCTTAATAAAAGTAAGTATGAAATAGAAGAAAGACTTAGCACAAAGTGGTAATATAAATAGAAAACGGGAGTTAGGAAGACAATTCTGCCAATAATTTGTTAGGGGTCCTTGGCTAACTGGTGTAACCACTCTGACTTGGTTTCTTCGTACAAAATGTGTAAATTAGCATCTATCTGATACAGTGATTGAGATAATGCAGATAATGTATTTAGAACAAAGGTAGCTCTCAGACAGTTCTAACTAGTTCCAAGTTAGCAACACATTCTAAGAACAGGAAGGACAAAGGAATGATAGAATCAATAAATTTTGCTACTGGAGTAGACACTAAAGGAGGAAGGAAATGCAGGATGTCTTT